TTGCTAGTGTTTGTTCATTAAATGCATTCATATGTACAAGTACATAATGTCGCGAGACATCCTCTTTCATATTAACTGAGTCTAAGTTCGAAGTTTTGATAAAAACGAAATCCAGCTGACGATGTCTGACATATAATAGGCAAGAGCATTAGTCCGTTCATCGGAAGCGAAGGAGAATTTCTTATGGACTGTATACATGAGCTTAATAAAAATATCATAAAACTGCAGGGCAAGAGGAGTCCGCCATCTATTAAGACATATTTATGGAATCAGTCACGATAATAGTGTTATGATTCATGAGATTAATCAAGATACAATTAGACTTCGTTTATTTATTCATTGATTTATTACTCATAGAGTTGAGATAGGTATAATATAATATGGCCAAGGTTTAATAATCAGAAAAGTGTCCCCTAGTATTTCAAAGCGATGTTAAGCATGTCGTAGGAAATTAAGCGATGGAGTTCATTTCAGCTGCAAATTACACGAACTATTATGAAAGTAAATATAGCATCGAAATAGATGGCAACGACTCATTTCCAGGTTTTCATGCTCAAATCCCCGTTTTTAGGAAGCATAGAGGAAACGATGACAAATATGTGGCTAAGTGGATAGGATACATAAGGTCTACTCACCAGCCATACCGGAAACACGTTCGTTTGGATAGGAAGCCCATTTATCCAATTTGTGCTTAATGCCAATAGGAAAATTAGCTCCTAATGAAGTTATTTCGGCTTGATCTGCATGGCACGACTGCTCGAGATTGCTTACGGCTTCATCGCTCCTTTGTGACATGTGAACACAAGAACAAATTATGCCAGAAAGAAATAGAGTGGTTTGGCACAGCTCACAAGCTCGTTCGTCATCCTGTAAAGAGTCAAAAAACATTCGTTTTGAGCGAACAATTCCAGCCTGTGCTACCTGTTTTCGCAGGTTACGCTCTTCTTTGAGCACAACTTCAAGCTGTTGGTGAACGGTGGCAATACAGGAGGTATCCAATCCAGCTGTTGATTCATTTAGGCGTCGAGGTGAGGTTGCAGAAACTGACATTGCCTGCTCAACAGTGACACGGCCAGTAGCAACGTCGGCAAGAGTGCAGAGCAATTCGTCATTTGAAAACACGCAATGTCGCCGCATAAATGCATAGTGATCCACACAAGCGCGGCCCATGGGGAGCTGTGGAGAGTGGATACAAAGGAGACAAAAAAGCACATTATAATCTCGTAATCGTAACATCTCTTACACGAGCTTATTTATTAAACTATAAAATGTCAGTCGGGTTTCAGATTACTAGTTTAAATATATGAGCTTCCATATATCTTCTGATATATCAGTGTTGGCCGACTTTGATTTTGTAAGAAAACTTGCGATGAATAGAATCATAGATCGATTTCACTAGATGACGATGGATTCTACTTTGTATGCTGTTGCTTGATTGTACTAAACGACCAGACAA